GTAATTTTAAACTATAGCTAAATATACCTTAAAGGGTTTTATAAGTTATAGCTAAATGCTTTTAAAAATATAATATATTAATTTTACTATAGCAGTATTTTTTAATACTTTATTTTATTTAGCTTAATTATTATTACAACCCAACAACTATAAAATACATACCCACAGATAAACTATAGATTAATGGGCCAATTAAAAGGGGATTACTTATAGAAGCATAAGCCATCCCTAATAGATTACAAACACTAAAGTAAGCCACCCTAGAAGGATTATAATTAAAATCATAAGCCTTATAGAATGACTTACTATATAAAAACCATTTATTATGCTTATTAAATAAAACTTAAATAATTAGTTGTTAATATAGCACTTTTAGATAATAATTAAATTAATTATTTATAACCTCATTAGCTATATAATTACATTACTTATAAGACTCCAACTTATCTCTCTGCCAATATAAACCTAATGTTAAGTTTATAAATTAAAAACCTACCCTATACCTAAGTATAATAGTATAGGTTAAGATATTATATATTAATAACTTTTATTTAAAAGATCTTTTAGAATTTTATAAATAATTAAACTACTATAACTAAAAACAATACTGCAGCTCCTTAAATTACTTTAGCACTTGCCGCAACCTTTAAATCTATTAGACTTATTAATATAGATAGCAATCTTGCTATAAGCCATAAGCCTAACTAAAATAATCTAGAGGGAGATGCTTTAAAGGAATATCTTTAAAATATATTTTAAGTTAACAAGCAATTAATTAATACCTTAAATAATAAAAAAAAGAAAATTAAAAAGGATATAAAAATCCTTATTAAGCAACAACTACCTCCTATATTTAACAGAAAGATTAATAAACTTAAACCCTTTTAAACTTAACTTAAGGCCTACTTTATAGACTTTAAAAATATAATTAATACTAAAGATAAAAAAGTTTCCTTTACAGCATTGCACCTTAAGGGAACTGTACTTAAGTAGTTCTAACCTATATAAAATAAATACTTTAAAAATCTAATTAATCCTCTACCTGCTGTTAAAAAAGTATTTAATAACTTTAAAGAATTTAAAAAAGAATTTATAAAAGCATTTAAGGACATTAAAGAAGTCTAAATAGCTAAAAACAAACTTATAGAAGTATTCTAAAAAGAAAAATACTTTAATTACACTATAAAATTCAAAGACCTTGCCTCTTAAGTTAAATAAAAACAAACTGCACTTATTAAATAATTCTATAATAAACTTAAGAAAAGCATTAAGGAAAAAGTTTATAACATTAACTAAACTCAGCATAACCTTTTATCCTTTATTAAAAAATATATTAAAGCTAATAATTTTTTATATAAACTTAATATAAGCACTTACAATAACTAAAAAAATAAAGATAAGAATAATAAATAGATTACTAAAGATAATAGTAGTACTCTAAGACCTATAGACATTAGTATAATTTAAAAAGACAATAAAAAGAAAGACTTTAAGTACTATAATTATAAAAAGCTAAACTATATAGTAAAAAACTATAGATTACTTAAAAAGTCTACTATCCCACTGCTAAAAGATAATCACGCTATAAAAAAAGACAGCAAGACTATCTTAATAATAAAAAAAGACTTTATAGCTAAAGAAAAAAACAAATACCCTTACTACCAGTCAGAAGCTAAACTATTAGATAATTCTAATACACTAGCTAAAGAATTTAAAATACTTAATCAATAAACAATCCCTTAGAAAGACCTTTAATTAACTAAAAACATAGATAAAGTAAATACTAAAATAGATAAAGATTTTAAATAGTAAAACTATAGATGCAACTATAAGCATAATAATAATATCTAAAGATAATATAATAACCTAACCCCAGAAGTTAATTAGCTATTTAAATTTTAAAATTACATTATTAAAGCCTAAGAACCTTTTAAAAATAACACTCCTTTATTTCTATATAAATAGTTATTAGAGCTTTAATAGCAAGAAGTAAAAGGATAACTTATCCTTTAAGCTATTACACTAAACCAAGCCCTATAATAAAACCTTAATTATAAAAGAAGATTTAAGGATATTAATTATATTAATCTAGACTATCTAGGACACTATTATATTAGCTAGGTTAACTATATTATATACCGATATATAGAACATTTTAATAATAAAAGGAAGCACAATACCTTTCCTATTAAGATCCCATTTCTTCCTGTTACCTATATATACTTTTATATATACTTTTTATTATAAAACATTAAGTAAAGGTTTAAATCCCTTAAAGTAGTTATCTTAAGAGAAAGAAAATGTATAAAACTAAATAAATTTATAGAAATCTATAAAAAAGCCTTCTATAAATATTATAAAGCTTAAAAACTCTTTATATAGCATAAAAAAAAAGATACTTAAGAAGAATATAATAAAATTAATTTCTTTAATTATAAGAATCTAAAGTATATATAATATATAGAAATTAAGATTTTAAACTAGTATAATTTAAAAAACATAAATAGTCTTCTGTAAGAGGGCAATAAAAAGACTTAAAATATATTATATCTTTTAAACTAAATAATAAATATAACAGCAAAAAAGAAAAAAAAAGAACATTTAAAAAAATATTATATAATATATTTTTAAACAGAAAGCCACTTACAGTCCTAATAAACAGTGGGTTATAATATAACTATATATCTACTATAACTATAATATACCTGCAGTTGCCAGCATATAAGAAAAAGAGAAAGTATTAGTTATAATATACAGAGGGAGTGCACTTCCTTTATAATAATAGATAGATTAAACAATAGACTAATTATCTATTAATAAATATTAAAAATTATATTACTAAAACTATATATAATATAGCTAATATCCTATAATATAACCTTATTTTAAAGATACTCTAGTTAAGCAAATATAATTTTAATATAGACTAAAAAACCAGCTAGATTTATTAGTAAAATAATAAAACCCCAGAAGAAAGGAAATTAAGTAGCCAGAAGCCTAAGATTTTCCTTAAGCCCACTATAATACCTCCTTAATATATTAAAAAAAGAAGGAAGATATTAGAATAAAAAATGTAAAAATATATTGCTATTTTATGCTAAAAACTAATGCTGCTAGACTAAAAACTTAAAAAAATTAAACAATTAGATAATCTACTAGCATAAATTTTAAAATAATATAGAAAGTATAAAAAACTCTTTAAAGAATAATTAAAAGAAAAACTTTTACTATATTTAAAATAAAACTATAAAATAATCTTAAAAAATAAAGCCTCTTTAAAGTTTTATAAGATTTATAATCTTAGTAAAATAGAACTTAAAACCCTTAAAGAATAAATTAAAGTATAACTTAAAAAGAAATATATTTAAATATTTAAATCCCTAGTTAAATACCCTATTATTTTTATACTAAAAAAAAATAGTAAACTATAGTTAGTTATTAATTATAGAGAGTTAAATAAAATAACTATTAAAAATAAAACCCCGCTACCCTTAATTTTATAAATTAAAAATAGACTGCATAAAAAAAAATAGTTTATAACTCTTAATCTTACAGAAGCTTATAAGCTTATGAAAATAAAGGAAGGATATAAATGGATGACTGCATTTGCAATAAAATATAGATTATATAAATACCTTATTATGCTACAGGGACTTATAAATACACCCACTTCCTTTTAGAAAAGAATAAACTATATACTTAAACTATACTTAAATAACTTTATAATTATATATATTAATAATATTTTAATCTTCTTAAATACCTTTAAAAAGCATAAAAAACACATCTACCTTATACTGCAAAAGCTTAAGGAAAATAAACTCTTTATTAACCTTAAGAAATATATATTTTATTTTTAGAAAGTTAACTTTCTAAAATATATTATTATACCTAAAGAAATTTATATAAACCTTAATAAAGTTAAAGCAATTAATAAGTAGCTAGTACTGACTATACTTAAAGAATTATAAGCATTTTTTAAACTTATAAATTACTATTAAAAATTCATTAAGGACTTTTTATTAAAAGCAATTTCGCTTACTAATATAATTAAAAAGAATAAACCTTTTAAATAAAGAGAGGAATAGTAAAAAGCCTTTAAAAAACTTAAAAAGGCTATTACTTTAAAGATAATTTTCGCTATATTTAACTTAAAGAAATCTATTATAATTAAGACTAATGCATTAAATTTTATAATTAGAGGGGTTTTAAGTCAACCAGGCAATAATAGTAAACTTAGACTTATTGTATTCTTTTTATATAAACTTAATAAATTAATGCTATAATATCCTATCTATAATAAAAAAATATATACTATATTGCAAGTATTTAAAGAATAAAGATATTATTGCTATAAAAGTAAATATAAGATTACTGTCTATATTAATTATAAGAATATTTTATACTTTATAACTATTAAAAAGCTCTCCAGCCAATAAATTAAATACTTTAAATTCCTGTTATAATTTAATTATAAACTTATTTATTGCAAAAGCATAGAAAATAAAAGAGCTAATGCATTAAGCAGAAGAAGTAACTATAAATAAAATATACTAGAATTTATAGTATAAGCACTATACTATAATAATAAAAGAAACATTAAGCAAGTATATATTTATGCAATGTTTAAAGTACTTAAAGAAAACCTAATGCTTAATAAAATTAAAAAATATATAAAGAACTATAAAAATAAAAAGTATTTAAAAGAAGTAACTATAAAAGAAGGATACCTTAAATATAAAGGAAAGATTTAGGTACCTAAAGAATTAAAAAGGGATGTAATAAAATATATTTATAAGCACCTGCTGCATAAACATAAGAAAATATAAAAAATATATAATTAAGTCTTTATATACTATAAAGTAATTAAACTTAAAGTATATATTTAATATATTATATTATACTACAGCATATGCTAATAGATAAAAAATAGAAGATATAAACTATATAAGAAACTATAACTGCTGCTAGTAGTAAAACAATTATAAGAATTAATAATATTTAATTACATCACTAACTTACCCCTCTCTACTAAACCCTTTATAAAAGTAAAATATAACAGTATTTTTATAGTAATTTACTGCTTTTTAAAAAAAGCATACTTCTTGCTGCATAATAAATCATATACAGCAGAAGACCTTACTTACATCTATATAAAAATAATTGCTGTAAATTATAGACTACTAAAAGAAATAATATTAAATAGAAGATAAACATTTGCTTTTAAATTTTAGCAGGAACTTATGGCTAAATTAAAAATAAACTATAAATTAAATACTGCATACCACCCTTAAACAGACAGATAAATAAAATACATTAATTAAATTATTAAAGTATACTTAAGATACTACATTAACTTTATATAAAATAATTAAGTAAAAAAATTACTAATAGTATAATACTATTATAACAGTATACCTTTAGAATCTATAGAAATTATACTATTTTATGCAAACTATAGATTTACACTAAAAGCATTTAAATTACTATAAAAAGGACTTAACTTTAAAAAAGCAAGACTGCAAGCAGAATTAATAATTAATTTACATAAAGAAATGCATATATAACTTAAATTTATCTAAGATAGAATAAAAAAGTATATAAACTAGGATAGAATTACAGGACTAATTCTTAAGAAGGGGGATATAGTTTATTTATTATAATACTTATAAGACTATAAATTACTAAATATTAAAACCAATAGGCTAAGTAATAAATTAAATATTAGAAAAATAAAACCTTATAAAATCCTTAAATAAATTAAAAAAGTTAATTATAAGCTAGCGTTGCTAGATATAATAAAGCTTTAAAGCCTAGTGTTTTATATATTATAACTAGAAAAAGCATAAGTTAATAAACTTATAAGAAGACCTATTTTAAATAAAATTATTATTAAAGATAAAGAAGAAGAATATAAAGTTAAAGAAGTACTTGCTATATACTAGAACTCTAAGACTAATAAAATAAAGTATTTTATTAAATAAAAAGAATACTTTAAACTAAAAAACTTATGGGAACTAAAAGAATACTTTAACTTTTAAGAGCTAATATAGAGGTTTCTTTGTTTTATAAGATTAATAGACTAAGGTCTGCAAACTCCAGGCTAACGCTAAAGGAGGATTAATTGATGTTGTTAAAGACCCCTATATACTGAAGATTACTTACTATACTATTTTCTTTATCCAACTCCTGCATTCTACAATAAACTAACTTACTACCCCGCTCCTTTATTTTACTCTTTATATAATAAATATAAGCTAGGCGGCTTACTGCCTTAGAAAGCTTAACTTGTAATTTAGAAAGCTAAGATTAAAAGAACTTTAAGGCTTTGCCTATAGCCTTTTCCTTTACTTTTAGCTTCTTTTATTAATTTAATACTTTTATTACTAAAATTAGAATATTAGTAATATAAATAAATATAAGAATAAAGCTTATCTATAAGAAGAAGCTACTAGAACTTTATTGTAAGAATAACTGCATTTAATATATTTATAATAATAAGAAGAATTCTTTATTATTTAATAGAGAATCTTTTTTTAAAAGCAATAAGTATATAGTATATTAGAATTAAAACTATAAGAAAAAATAAATAATGCAAGAAGGTTATGCTTATGGGTTTTATAAAGAACTGACTTAAATACTTAATTAGTTATTATGCTATTATTTAAAGAAGTAAGTTATAGACAACAGAAATAAAAAGAATAGATATATTTATGGATTATAAGAACTAATGTATACTTGGCCTTAAGGATAAGACTAATAAAGAGGGGGCATTGTATTATAACCTAATAACTATAAAATATATACCTATAGATAAACTATAGATTGATAGGCTAATTAGAAGGGGATTACTTATAGAAGCATAAGCTATTTTTAATAGATTATAAATACTAAAGTAAGCCACCCTAGAAGGATTATAATTAAGATTATAAGCCTTATAAAATAACTTACTATATAAAAACCATTTATTACGCTTATTAAATAAAACTTAAATAGTCAGTCGTTAATATAGCACTTTTAGATAATAATTAGATTAATTATTTATAACCTCATTAGCTATATAACTGCATTGCTTATAAAACTCTAACTTATCTCTCTGCCAACATAAACCTAATGTTAAGTTTATAGATTAAAAACCTACCCTATACCTAAGTACAATAGTATAGGTCAGGACGTTACAATTATTTACTTCTTTAAGTATAAAAATAAATATATAATTATTATTATTTTTATAGATTTTAATTACTTTTATTTAAACTTTAAAGTTAAATTTATTTAATTATAGTTTTTTATATTATAGTTTTATTTAAATTATTATTTTTTATTATTTTTATATTAAAAATACTATAATGCTTTATATTTAATAATTTAATTATAGTATTAAATTATAATAATATTAATTATTAAAAAATTTAATAAAGTTATTATAATTATATTATAATATTAATAGTTAATTAATATATTATTAAATTATTTATTTTATTTATTTAATTAATTATAGTAATTATAAACTATAAAATTATTTATTAAAACTTTCTTTAACTTTTTATTTTTAAAAAAAAATATTATTATATAATTTTTTTAATTTACTTTAATTAATTAATATTTTATTTATAAAGGTATTTTATAAATTTTAAATAGCCTATAGAAGTATAAAGTTTAATTTACTGTTTATAAATAATAAAAAATATTAATTTAATATTTAAAAAATATACTTTAAAGATAGTACTATAGAATTTATAATATATATATTATTATTTTAAATAATATTTTTAAATTTAAAGTTAATATTTTTAATTAATATATTAATTAACTTTTTAAATTCTTTAAAAACTTTATTTAATATTATTTTATTATTTATTTTATTAATAATATTTATAAGTTTATTAAAGGATTTTTTAAAGCTTTATTAATAATTAAATATATTTTATATAATAAAAAAGCTTTAATAGCTTAAGGTTATTTTAATAATTTTATTAAAAAAGCTTTTAAAAATTACTTTAAGGGCTTATTAATAATAATTAATAATATTTAATTAATAAAAAAAATATTAATTTATTTTAATAAAGCTTATATAATTTATATTTATTATAATAAAAAATA